CATCAAATCATACCCTGAATTTACATTCTGGGCCAGTTCTCAATATGTTTTATAAGTAATGGCTTTTGCAACCACAATTAACAATTAATACAATTAATTAGGATTTCCAGTAAGACTGTATTTTTCTTTAATTTAATTGATCAGAATTTCAAATTTTTTCTGGATCCAACAAGCAAGCAAATTATGGATACAGAGGTCTCATTAACAATGAAGCAATCACAGAGCATATAAATATTACAGTGAAAACTTCATCACAAGTGGAAACATTTGGCTTCAGAGCAGTAACAAATTACATTACAGTTGATAAGTTTTCACACATTTGATGAAGCACCGACGGCTCATAAGAATCAGGTAACCAAACCAGTAACTTACTCTTCGTATGTCAAGCTCTTCAAAGACATGTCAGAGTTCGGCCTTCTGTCCTCTACGTGATCATGCTGCAAGTCATACAATCAACAGGGTAATCTGAAGACACATCAGCGTACACACAGTGGAGAAAGGCCATTTTCCTGTGATGTATGTAACAAATCATTCAATCAACAGAATAATATGAAGACACATGAGCGTACGCACAGTGGGGAGTGGCCATATTTCTGTGACATCTGTAAAAAATCGTTCGTTCGTAAGGATTCTTTGGAGAGGCGTCTGCTTATACATGGTAGATAGCAGCCATATTTATGTGATGTATATAATAAATGATTTTTTACCTGCATAATCTCTTTGATGACTACTCTGTATTTCAGTGACATTAAATCTTTTCATTAATAGAATAATCCAACGAGTCAATACATGTGAGGGATGCGCGTATTCTTGTGATGTATGTAAGTCTTCCTATTATCAGAAGAGTCTGCAGAAGTATTATTGCATACACAGATTAAAGTAACTATTGTCCCATCATGAATAAGATGTTTTCTGCTGTCAGAATGCGAATGAGTACCTGCTCGTGCACATTTGTTTTGTACAGGAATAGTATCCAGGATAGGAATAGTAATTGTGCATTTGAGGCAAAGGGCAGTCACATTCTTGTGTAATACAATGATGAGCGTCTTATAATGTATAATGTGAAGTTTCTCGGCGCCTAAATGCAATAAAATCTTCTCGCATCTCGTTTCAAACAAGCGAAACAGTGGCAGTGACGTCTTTTTGGTTTAACAATTTTATTCAGTTTATTACTTCCAAAACATTTTATAACTGTTTCATTGA